AATAAATCTAGAATTGAAGTTGAAGAAAATAGCATAAAGATAGTTGAGAAGAGCCAATGATTATAGTTGGTAATTTCAACTCATAAAAATAAGGATATTTTCTGGTTATATAATAGTATCTTACAAAGGCCAACCTTTTTTCTTATAAGACAGGTAGCTAGAGAAAATGACAAAAAAAAAAAACCCAGGAGAATGACAAAGATTAGTGGTGATAATGCCATGTTAATTGTTATCCATATTGGTTAGGGCTTTTGGATTTTATAAAACAGGATCTTGGGCCAGCTGCATGGCTCAGTTGGTTAGAGTGCAGGCTCTGAGCAACAGGGTCGCCGGTTTGATTCCCACATGGACCAGTGAGCTGCGCCTGAGCTGAGCTGGTGAGAGCGTGTGCTCTTAACAACAAGGTTGCTGGTTCGACTCCCGCATGGGATGGGGGGCTGCGCCCCCACCCCCGAACCTCCTCCCTCCGCCCACAACTAGATTGAAAGTGGAGACTGAACTTGGAGCTGAGCTTGCGCCCACCACAACTAAGATTGAAGGACAACAACTTGACTTGGAGCTGATGGGTCTTGGAAACACACAAGGTTCCCTTCCCCAATTCCCCAACACTGTTCCCCTCCCAAGTTCTCCAATAAAATCTTTAAAAAAAAAAACAGAATCTACTTGCTACTTTAAATAGTAAAGGGTTTCTTAAGAGCCTTGAATAGTTTGTAAAATTTCTGGAAGAGATAGCAAACCAAGCATGCCTTAGTCAAAGAAACAAATACAACAGAGAACTTCCTAAAGAAAACACCTCCTGTGCCCCCATCACTCTGCTCTGCCCTTGAAGCTAAGAGCCAGACAATAGAATGTGCCATCATGACTGCTCTAAAAAAACCAAATGCCTCCAACACCTTGGTAACCAGAAAAGCTACATAGCTTCCACTTCCAATGCTTAATTTCACCATACATGTATTTGTTTGCTCAATAGAAGGGTGGAATCATATAAAATCCTAGCTGCAAGGGAGCCTGCAAAGCATAGTCTTCAGAGTTTTCAGCTTCTGATGTGTAGGAAATTTACTCGGAGATTAGCGTGGTGCTGTGAGCCTGTATGATGCACATGAATCAAAATATTGAATAGTTGAATACATATATTCTAAGAAAGTGAAGCATAGACATTTTACAAAACTTTACATTAAGAAATATATTGAAATATAAAAGTTCTAATAGTTAACCTTTATACAGAAAATAACTTTCTAAAATGGCTCATTTCCCAAGAGTTCCAGCAACCATTTACTGAACAGAGAAATAATTAAAAAGCAAACAAAGCAGAAATGGAAATGACTCCATTGTCTTCCGTAGCTGGCAGTCGATGGAAACTAACCTAATTTTTATTGTGACATACAAATGATTATGAGGTAAACCTAAACATGATAAAAATATTAACCAGTACCCTTAGTTAATATACTAGGAGCAAGTATATCATAGATGTAAAGCTGCAAAGTTACAATGGTAGAACAAATGATATTATTTAATGAAAATTAGCTTAGTGAGCTAGAGTAGAGCAGGACAAGCAAAAAACCTAGAAAATCACTGAATCATTTTTGATAGGCAGGGCTGACAAGCAGACATTCACTGTAGGTTTTTGAGCTGGTGTGTATGAAGATAAAAATCATGATGTGAGGCCAGTCTCTTTCTACTTAAGAATAGTCACTGCCTGTTTGTTAAACTGTTCAGTCTAAAAGATTCTCTTTGCTACTCCCGGTCATCGCACCACCGTACCTGAGGTTTGACTTCATCATGGTCACTGGACCCTTTAGGGCTGCTTTTCTCAAGTCTGACAGCCCCTTCTTTCCTGCCTTCTTTTCATTCTCTTATCGCAGTGATTCTGCAGCCCCTTTGCCTTAGTGTGCAGCCACTGGATTGGTCTGACCCTATGCAGTTCAGTGCTGCTGGGACGTCTGCACACCGTGCTGGACAGGCAGGCTGCTCCTCCTATTCTCAGAGGACATTGCCACACGTTCCCTGCTTTCCCTAAGCTTTCATCTTCGCAGAGTGCTTTGCTTCCAGCTTCACCGAGAAAATAGAGCCTGATCAGAATTAACTTGCTTGATATATTCCCCTTTGCCCCTGAGTTTTTAAAATTCATCCTTACCTTCCTCTGTTAAGTCTGAAGAAGATGTTTTCTCCCCATTTGAGGGAATTGCTCTGCTTTCAACCTACATCATTTCCTCCAGTTTGCCTAGAAACCTTGTTTTACCAATGCCTCCTTTTCCTTATTTAAAAAAAATTTTTTTTAATGTGTATTTTTTTATTTTTTTTAAAGATTTTTATTGGAGAATTTGGGGGGATGGGAACAGCGCTGGGGAATTGGGGGAAGGGGAACAGACAAGTTGCTGTCATTTTGTTCTTCAGTCTAGTTGTGGAGGACGTTGCTTCACTGGCCCAAGTTGGCACCATCATTGTGCTCTTCCCGGGCGAGGCAGATCAGTCGATGACTTCTGGATGGCCGCTCACTGCTGCTGCTGGCTGCTCAATCCTGGCGCCGGGCTACAAACGGAGCTCCTTGCCACCCAATGGCAGAAGGGACTGCAGCCTACGCTGTCATCGGCGACTCATGGCAGCCCAGCTCCAGGTTGAGCTGTTGTTCAGCATCTTAGCTGTAGAGGGCAGTGTCACTGGCCCTCATATGTGGGATCTGAACCGGGGCCCTCTGGCGTCCCAAGCCAGTTCTTAACCATCGCACCACTCGGCTGGCCCTATTTTTATTTTTTAACAGTGTGTTTTTTCCAGGACCCATCAGCTCCAAATCAAGTCATTGTCCTTCAATCTAAATAGTTGTGGAGGGCGCAGCTCAACTCCAAGTTCAGTCACCAATGAACCAGCAACCTTGTTGTTAAGAGCACGCGTTCTAATCAACTGAGCCATCCGGCCGGGAGCTCAGTGGCAGCTCAGCTCAACTCAAGTCGTTGTCTTCAATCTGTTGTTGCGGAGGGCGCAGCTCCTTGGCCCATGTGGAAATCGAACTGGCAACCTTGTTGTTCAGAGCACACACTCTAACCAACTGAGCCACCCGGCCACCCATAAAATTTTCTTTTTAATGTAATACTTGAAACATACAAACACTTTATTAAAAATGTCACTGTGGTTTGATCAGTCGAACAATAAGGAGAAAGTTTTAAACAGCAAAGAGGTGTGACTAAGGCTAAATACTGAAGTTAACATAACTTTAAAATATTTTATTGAATATTAGTAATTAAGCGCTTATACGTGCAAAAATAGCTGGCACCTGATGAAACACTGTTCTAGGACTTACTGGTTCAGGCAGACCTCGTTTTGCACTTTACTTCATTGCGCTTCACGTATGTTGAGTTTTTTTACAAACTGAAGGCAGTGCCCTCTACCAGTGAAAGATTATGACCTGAGGGTGGTTGGTTAGCTCAGCTGGTTGGAGCGTGGTGCTAATAACACCAAGGTTGCTGGTTCGATCCCCACATAGGCCGCTGTGAGCTGCACCCTCCTTAAAAAAAAAAGATTACGACTTGTTTTATTGCAATATTTTCTTTATTGTGTTGGTCTGGAACCAAACCTGCAATGTTTCTTGAGGTATGCCTGTATGACATAGCTTCATAACATAGTATCATTTCCCCCATGTTATAAATGATACAACTGAGATTCAGAGATTAATTCACTTAAGGTTACACAATTAACATAACAGGGATATGAAACCAAGTCTGTCTGTGCTCTTAGTCATTCTTTGACGTTAACTCAGTCACTCAGATTTCTGACTAAAGACTGTTATGCTAACCAGTCTCCTGAAATTTCAGAGGGATAAAGGAGGAAAGAATACAAACTTAGGCTCTTGAAAGAGATTGGATAAACAAAAATCAGAATCATAGAAGCCAAAATAATTATAAAGAAAAAGACTGGAAGAAGTATAGGAGACTCAAAGGAAGCCATGTGTTTGCTAATCCAGACCATAGAGGGCTAACTCTAGAATCAAGTATGAAAGGCTAATCACTGCTTTCAGTTTGTCATATGTCTTATGTATTCGGATTTGTGTTCTAATTCTTTAATTCTTCTTCCTTAGTCTTACACCTGAAATCGTCAGTACACCTTCCTCCCCAGAAGAGGAGGATAAGTCAATACTTAATGCAGTTGTTCTTATTGATGATTCAGTGCCAACTACAAAAATTCAGATCAGGTTGGCAGATGGCAGTCGTTTGATACAAAGATTCAATAGTACACACAGGTAAGTTAGCTTGCACTTACACATACGGTTACTCATCTATGTTAAACTGTATGTGACTTGAGTAATGAAGAAAATGCAATTCTTTAGATATGCAGTATGTTTTGACAGAAGAAAAAAACTTTAAAAGGATAATAGGATAATACTAATGGAAATCCACTCAATGGAAATATCACTTAAAAAAATAAAGAAAATTGTTTAAAAGCTGGTTTCACACTGTTGCTAAAGCCATGTAAAGTGGAATCAGATTTAATTTAATATAGTTAAACCTTATTTGAACTTTTACTCATGTAAAATTTATGATAATTCTGGTTGGGATTAACTTTCTACATAGAAAATCTTCATGTAAATTTGTAGTTTAGGTTTCTTTGTGCTGTTGTCAAGTACTTCAAATAGACTGTTTTAAATGTCATTTTAACATTCACTTGTACATGGACATTTGTTGTGCTAATAAGATATTACTTTAACTTGTTTATCCCTCTAAGAGATACACTTATGATCTTTGTTGAGTTACTATGTGTATGTGAAATTAATTTTTAACAGTTATTCTTATAACTTACACTTTTCATAGTTTCAGACTCACTTTGACACAGGCCACTCTGAGGTACCCTTTTCCGGGTCGTGTGCTGCTAAAATTTTTTATACTCTGAAAAGAGTAGGACCTGCACTTTCATTATAACATGGTTGACATTTATTTTGTGCATAACTCATCTGAAGAATGTCTCTGTTTCATAGTAACATTTATCTTAAAACGAAGATAAATCCATTCATTGAAATAGTGTAAATTAAAGAAAGTTACAACACATTTAAACAAGAATTAGAATTGTGTAATTTTTATTATATCTAATTTTGGCTAAAAGTTTACATGGCAGTAAAGCTTCTGTATCACAAATTATTTTTATCTTATTTCTCAGGATCCTGGATGTTCGGGACTTTATTGTACAGTCTCGTCCTGAATTTGCAACTCTTGACTTTATTCTTGTGACTTCATTTCCAAACAAAGAGCTAACAGATGAAAGCCTAACACTACAAGAAGCAGATATTCTTAACACTGTGATACTCCAACAACTAAAATAATAGTGTCCCTATATGCAGCAGCATGTAGTGAGAGACAATGTGCCACATGAATAAGAGAAGCAGCATAAAAACCAATTATTTGTATTATTTATACAGATTCATTTTGGGTTTATTCTTATTCTATCCTCCAGGCTTAGTTTAGATAAATTTGGACTACAAATTGATCTTCAGCTAAATATACTTGAGTTTTTAGGTGTAGGGCTGGCTTACGTTGATAGGTTTTAAATATTTGAGCAAACCAATTTGTTACATGCTCAGTGTTAATATAATAACATTTTTTGGCAGAGAAAATGATCAAAACCCCATTTTGATAAATGCATTTGTAAAATTTGCACTAAAGCTTCTTGATGCTGCATTGATCAAGAGCCGTTAAGAAATCTCTGATCAAATATTTTGAAGTTTTTCTCTGTGATATATACAGAAACATCTGTAATTCTGATTTCGAAATGCTTTGATCATGCGATTATTTCTCCTCTTAAGATGTTAGGCATCCTTCTTAGTTACTGATTTAACTATATTACTGTATCAGAAAAGACAGTTTGGCTTTGTATTTTATAGAACTATGACATCATAAACTACAAACAGACATAAAGGTCAGCATTTCTTGAGAAGATATGGTAAACAGCACTTTAAAATAGAGGAAATACAGTGCCTCCCATAGCCTGCCTTGATCACATTAATTTATTCATTCAACACCTTTTTCTAGGGGACCCGCTGTGTTTGTGTGTGTGTGTGTGTGTGTGTACACACTAAACACTGTTCTAAGTGTTCAACCCATAATGTATTCTACTCCAGGACAAAATGAGTGTAGAATACAAGAATGTGAATTCTGCCAGGCAAACTAGATCTAAAGAATGACCAGCAGAAATGTGTGCATTTCTGCTGAAGCCAGAGGTTTCCTGAATGAGGACGGGCACATCAGGAATGATAGGAAAGCTTTCTCTTCTTCCCAGACACCACTTCATCTCTGGTCACCACTCCTGGTTAGTTTTCTATTGCTGCTGTTACTAATTACTACAAACTTAGTGGCTTATAATAGCACAGATTTACTTTCTTCTAATTCTATAAGTTGACATTTAACATGAGTCTCACTGGGCTAAAGTAAGGTGTCGACAGAGCTGCGTTCCTTTTGGGAGACTGCAGGAGAAGCACTCCTTGCCTTTCCAGCTTCTAGAGCCCACCTGCATTCCTCGGCCTATGGTCTCCTGTGTCCACCTTCAAAGCCAGCAACATTGTCTCTCTCTGACCCTTCTCTGTTAGCACATCTCTCTAGCAACATCCAGGAAAGGTTCTCTGCTTTTAAGGACTCATGTGATTAGATTGGGTCCACCAGATAACCCAGGATTATCTCCCCCATCATAACGTCTCTAGTAACCTTAACCACATCTTTAAAGTCCCTTTTGCCATGTTAAGTAACATGTAACAGGTTCCTTCTGGAAGCCCCAGGGCTGACTGTTGTTTGCCTCTTCTGACTTGCAGAGGCTGCTTGCATCCCTTCACTTATGGCTGCGTCCGTCCAATCTCTGCTTCTGCCCTTAATCTTTTATTACCAATTTTAATTCTGCTTTTCTCTTATAAGGAACCTTGTGGCTACATTTAGTTTACGTGGATAGTCCAGGATAATCTCCTCATCTCAGAATGCTTAATTTAGTCACATCTGCAAAGTTCACATGTTTGTGGATTAGAACATAAACATTTTGTGGTGCCACAGTTCACTTCTGCCTCGAAAGATCACATCTGTCCAAAGTGAAGTCACCCCATCCAAAGGTGCTCAAAAGTCTCAACCCATTACAGCATCAACTTAAAATGCAAAACCTTATCTAAATCTCACCAGCCCCAAAGTGCCAAATCGCATTTAAATCAGGTATGATAGCAGATCCAGTTATGATTTCTAGGACATAACTCCTCTCCATCTGTGCACCAGTGAACCTAGAAAACCAGTTATCTGCTCCTAAATATGATGGTAGCACAGGCAGAGAATAGTAGTTACAGACATTCCTGTTTAAAAAAATAGAAAATAGAATGAAAAAGAAGTCACCAATGCCAAGCAATTTATTATAGAAATTCAGCCAGGTGCACTCTGTTAGGTTTCAAACCTGGGAACAGTCCCCTGTCGCTCACAGCACTGTCCTCTGCACTTGGACTCCTCAGTCCTGGAAGGTAACACATGCTTGCAGCTGAGTAGTTTTGTCAGCGTGTTTCCTGCCTGTGGAATTGTGGGAGGTTCAGTCACCTTTCATTTCATGCTTTATCCATCCCTTTTAGCTTAAGATGGCAATGTCGACTGGTATAGCATTCTCAGAAACCCTGTGAATCTTCTTTGTATGTTACAGGAATTCACGCCATTAGACCAGAGGCTCCTCCACGGTTTTTCCTAGATAATCCCATCTATTTTTGGATTTTTCTGAGATGGCTGAGAGGATCTGTAAGTCACACCCTCAATCTCTTCAACGAGCTTTTTGTGTGATGAAATTCTCAGCCTTTTTGGTCTTTCTCAGGTTTAGCAAAAGGTTGTGCAGGACCCTCATCTCTCTCCCTAGAGTAGGCTTTCCTAACGCTGAATCTCGTAATGTCTTTTTCATGTGGATAGGCTAAGAGTTTCTAAGTCATCAGGTCCTGTTTTCTTTATATTTAACAGTTCACCCCTCAGTTTATCTGTCTCCCCTCACATTTTACTATAATCCACAGGAAGACAGCAGGCTGCACCTTCCACACTTTGCTTAGAAGTCTCTTAAGCTAAATATCTTGGGCCGGCCAAGTGGCACATTGGTTGGGACTTGGCTTGAGGCACCAGCTCTGAGCAGCGGGGCCCGGGTTCGGATCCCACATGGGGGCAGATGACACTGCACCCTGTACAGCCGAGATGGTGGGCAGCAGCTCGACCTGGAGCTGGGCTACTGTGAGTCGCCGGCAGTGGCGTGGGCTGCCGTGGGCTACCGTGATTGGCCGGCAGCCAGCGTGAGCTGCCGTGGGCTACCGTGAGTGGCCAGCAGCCAGCGTGGGCAACTGGCAGCCAGTGTGAGCTGCCGTGGGCCACCATGAGTGGCCATCCAAAGGCCAGCGAGCAACTGCCTCTCCCAGGAAGAGCATGATAATACCAGCATGGGCCAGTGGGGCGACATCCTCCACAGCTAGGCTGAGGAGCAGAGGGACAGCAACTTGTCTGTTCCCCTTTCCTGATTCCCCAGCGCTATTCCCCTCCCCCAATTCCCCAATAAAATCCTTAAAACAAAAAAAAATAATAAGTTTATCACTTACAACTGCTTTCCACATAAGTTAAGGACACAGTTCAGCTAAGCTTTTTGCCATTGTACAACTATTGGGTCTTCAGAAAAGTCATGACGTATTTTGTCTATGTTTTTCAAAAGTCATTTATTTATATAAAGAACAAAGATCAATCAATGATATATTGCCCGTTTTGTTCGATAACCTTTTGCCATCTTTCAGTGGGCTTCATAATTCCTTGCTCATAGAATAATCTGTCTTTATTTGTGAAAAACTGAACAAGGTGCTGATTTACAGCCTCATCTGAATTGAACATTATACCTCGCAAGGAGTTTTGAAGAGAGCGAAACAAGTGGAAGTCTGACGGCGCAAGGTCAGGCAAGTATGGTGGGTGTGGCAACACATCCCATCCAAGCTCCAATAATTTTTAACAGGTGATCCAACTTGTGTGTGGTCTCACATTGTCGCGATGGAACACAACTCCTTTATAATTAACAAGCTCTGGACGTTTCTGGATGATGGATTCATTCAAACTGTCCAGTTGCCAACAGTACACATTCGAGTTGATTGTTTGGTTCCTTGGTAGGAGCTCGAAAAACACTACACCTTTAAAATCCCACCACACTGAGAGCATAACCTTTCTCTGATGAATGTGTGCTTTCGATGTCTTTTGAGGTGAATCATCACGTCGGGACCAAGACCTTTTGCACACCACATAGTTGTAAACAATCCACTTCTCATCACCAGTTATCAGTCACTTCAAAAAAGGAGCGTTTTCCTCACGTCTAATGAACATATTGCAGATGTTGATACGCGCCATCCAATGAACTTTGAGTTCATGCAGAACCCAAATATCGAGCTTGCTTACCTATCCCAGCTTCTTCAGGTGGTTGTGAACACTTGAATGATGGATGTTCAATGTTTCTGCAATCTCTTGGGTCATGTAACGTGGGTTTGGACTTGATCAGTGCCTTTACTTTGTCATCATCAACCTCGGTGGGCCTCCTGACCGAGGAGCATTGTTGAAATCAAAATCACCAGCATGGAATTTTGTGAACCATCCTTGGCACTGACGTTCTTGTAGAGCATTGTCACTGTAAACTTTATGCAACTTTTCACAAGCTTGACGTGCGTCCTTTCCTTTATGGAAGTAAAACAGTAAAATATGGCAAAAATGGACAGTTTGGTCTTCCATCTTCAACTTGTAAACTCTCCAAAACTCAACCAAATCACTCATGTTTTTTTCATAGAATGAAGCTAGAACTGTCAGCTGTCAAATGACATAGCAATAACATAGATGCGAATGACTCTAGTACTTCCAAAAATGAATTAGTGCCATCTTTCGTAAACATGCGTCATGACTTTTCCAAAGACCCAATATAATTGCTTTTCCTTCAGTTTCCAACAGCATGTTCCTCATTTCCTTCTGAGCCCTCACTTGCAGCACCTTTAATGTCCTTACTTCTACTAACCATCTATTCAGACAATTTAGATATTCTGTATGGCGACATAAGCATTCTCTACCAAGCTTCCTACTTCCGTGCAGCCCTCAGTAGCATTGATACCCATATATCTACTAACAGTGTTCAAGTAGTCTTGGCTTTTTCTGTCATGCTCCTAAAATTTCTTCCAGCTTTTACCCACTGCTCAATTCCAATGCTGCTTTTGCATGTTTAGGTATGTGTTACTGCAGCACCCCAATTCCAGGTATCTAGAAAAGTCTGTGCCAACTCACTGCCAACTGACTTGAATGTGCCAATAGGAGAGGCTCTGGTTATTTCAAGGTAGTGAATTTGTATTAGGGGTTTTAATACCAGGAGGGCTACCAGAACTGCCACAGATAGAAGTGTCGATCCCATTACCACAGAGAAAACTTGTGCTTGGTGTCATAATAGAGAGTAAGAAAATTTTCCTAACTCTTCCCCTCAAAATAGGAAGCCCTGTTCCTTTCCACTAATTGAAAACCACTTATAGAATATATAAATAATAGTTCAAAAAGTCAGAATCAATTCAAAAACATGACCGGGGGTATTTTGCATTTTCACAGAAGCGAAATAGTCTTCCTCAGGGAATAATCTATTGAAACAAACCAACATTTTAAGTAACAGGGCATTACCCGGTTTTGGATTAACAAAACGGGGGAAAGTTAAGCAAACCCTGTAAAATTATTTGATATTTTATTCTTGCAGTTTCTTTTTATTGATTAGGTGGAGTGCCTCTAGATGCACATATAAAACGACTGCCCTTTTTTTATATAATAGTCTTCCAAAATACAGAGATTTACACTAGGGGAGAGAAACACCCAGAAGGTATGAACAAGACTTTCACATGAACTACATAGTGCTCTTCATTTAGAGTCATTTTCCTGATTTTTTCCTATTGCAATCACCATAACTCGTAAACTCTATAATCGTGTCAAAAAAGATAATGTCACAATGAGCAGTTA